GGTGTTTAGTCTTAAGCAAGGGAATTTTCCTTGGTCGACAACCTCGAAGTCCTGTGCGATGAAAGCAACTAGTGACTGTCTTCTTCGATACATTCAACCCTGATGTCTTTACATCGTCGACAATGTCCTTTGTCGTTAAATGAGGATTCTTCGGGACGTCTCTAACAATTTTCCTTTCCATTCTCTCAGGAATTAACCGTTTTCTTCCAATCTTTAATTTTTTGTCAACACAATGAATCTCGTTGTACTTCTTGATAATGTTACAAATTGTTGATCTAGGAACATTTAAACAATTGGATAGTGTTGTATATCCATCACTTTGTATGCATCGACTATCTTCATTCAGAGCTTCATGTCAAGTTCAGCCGTCTTCGCCATGGTTGCACAATGAATGGGTTATCGTGGGATCGAAACCCGGCCGATTTGGCATCTCTAAGCCATTGGGACACGGTATGAAGGAAGAAAAATTTAGACGTGTTTATTTTTAGACAAACACGCCAGTGACCGGAGAACTCGATTCGACTAACGAAGAGACTTGCATCACAAGTAGTGATAGTCACTGTATAAAAATTCACTTTTCTACCCGAAGAGTTCAACCGAAATAATTTTTTTTCAGGAGCATATATATATATATATATATATATATATATATATATATATATATATATATATTGCCATCCACATAAAAACTGTTTCGATGTTTCTCAGTTCATCAGTGTGAAAATATTCTGTTAATACGTAATTTTAAAAGGTACAATTTATGTAAGCAAATGCTCTATTCTTTTTTTTTTTAAATAAACAATATTACTACTTATAAATTATTTAGACTTTGCTAAACAGACACTTCTCTGTAACTGAGTGGTATAGCACATCAGATATATATATATATATATATATATATATATATATATATATATATATATATATATATATATATATATAATATAATATAATATAAAAAAAGAGTTATATTTTCTGATTTATTTTTTGAATTTGTGGGTCTGGTGTATTGGATTACGATTTCAATGTAATAAATTATAAACCATGGAATATTAGTGTTTGACCCTTTTATATTTTTATTCTTGCTCCGTCCTGGACATTGAGCTCTACCTGGGTTATATCCCTTGGAAATATATATATATATATATATATATATATATATATATATATATATATATATATATTGACCATTAATATTATCTATATATATGTTGAGCCTAGTTCATAGTGTTTTGGTTAACAAAATTGCTTTGCTAAAGTTTTCAAGAGGCGACTAATAGCTTCTTTAAGGAAATAAAAAATATATCTATATATAATTTGGCTATTTATTTCCTAGTGGAATGTTTTCGAGAGATGTTTGAAATATCTAGCAATACAGGGGAAATGCAACTTGACAAATGATCAGATTGATAAAACTGTTTTTAAATTCGGCTAAATATTCGTTATTGCTGCCCCGTTCGTTTTCTCATCTGTAGTTCACACTGGAGTGTCGGTATTTTTGCGCCAATTCCGTAGCAAGAGACGAATATTCAGTCGTGGTGAATGGTTATGGCGGAGGATTAACAAGTTTGAAAGTCACAGCTATTGTGCGAATAAACAACAAACAAAATCGACATCATTAAGCATCTGCTTTTTCGTAATATCCTAACCTTGCCTGTTCCAATAATGCACGACAATGCCTCCATTCGAAAAACCTAATCAATTCACCATTTGCTGACACTGATAGACGAGTTAGAACAATATGACATTTTCTTTTTTTAGTAGTTTATCCATGGTTATGGGCAAGAGGAAAGCGGAAGAATGAACTAACCAGTAATTGGAAGAAAAACCGAATTTATGGTCATCGGCGAGGAGTACAGATAAAGAATTAAAAATATCAAAATTAGGCAGGTTCTGAAATTTTGGATTTTTGTTTTAAGCGTTTCACTCCAAGCAAGGCGGGAAGTCACAAGCACGCAAGGAGTTACAGAGAGTTGTTGCTAGAGCAAATAGGAGTGATAGAGGAAAGGATGAAGAGAAGGCTAGGGGATAGATCAAGGCATCTGGAGACGTCGACTGACATTATATTTGAATAGTTGGAGATTATAGCTATCAGGGAAACAAGAAGAGGGGGGCGAGTTCCACAAGTGAGAGGTGCACGATATGAAGCTATTGGAGTAGAAGAGATGGTTACATTTACCAGTTTCGACAGTGAAACGGTGTGAGAGAGCTGCCAGCCTAGTAGAACGCTTAAATTCATGAAGTCTGGGAACCAGTGAAAGCAGCTCTTCGGAGCAGTTACCATGAAAGTAGTTATAAAAGGAAGGCGACAGCACGTCTGTGAGAGAGCGACTGCAGACGAGATGCCAGATCAGGGCTAGTTACGTTGCATATCCGTCTCTGGATCTAATCAAGAACCCCGAGGCAAACAGAAGGGGCTCCAGACCATATATGGCAGCAATACTCCATGCAAGGGCGAATGGTTGATTTGTAGATTTGAAGGATCGATTCCGGGGAGAAAAATTTCCTGGCGCGGCACAGTGAGCCAACATTCCTTGCGGTGGACGAAGCTATTGACTCAATGTATTTGTTTCATCTCAGGTCAGCGGACAATGTGAGACCGAGCAGTCGCAAAGAGGTACTCTCGAGAAGTTGAGCGTCAGACATTCTAATGGGGGGGGGCAGAGATGGTTCTCTGTGTTGAGTAATAGAGAGCAGTTTTGTTTTTGAGGCGTTAAAGTTAACCATCCAATTCTTGTCCTCGTTCACAACCGATTGGAAGTCCTTTTCGAGACGAATGGCCAGGTTAGTTTTGTCAACAACACTAGATTTGTTTTTGAGACAGGAGTAAAAATAGTAGTGTCGTCTGCGTAGATACCTACTTGGGAACCTATGTTCTAATAACTCACACAGAATGTGTATTATAAAGATTAGAAAATTATTCAAATATTTCTATTATGGTTACATGTATGTAATGATGCAAGTAGGTCTCTGATAATGACTGGGGAACTCTCTCTCTCTCTCTCTCTCTCTCTCTATATATATATATATATATATATATATATATATATATATATATATATATATATGGTTGGATAGATGTGAGTTTGTGACTCTGGGTTTCACGCTTTAGCGATCGTCAGACAACCAAATATGTCAGCTCTATCTCTGATATTGAGCGCTTTCTAATAAGTACCACGTATATAATATATAAATAATTATACATATATATATTTTATATTTATATACACTACACACACACACACACACACACACACACACACACACACACACACACACACACACACATATATATATATATACTTTATTATAGGATATTACATAGAAACAACCACATAAAAAGATTGTATGTGATTAAAATCCTAATAAATTGTACTAATCACTCAATTACTAATGACTGAGATGTGTTGATTGAGTGCATTTGTGTAGCGTTATTTTACATGTTTGTATGTAATATCCTATAATAAAGTATATATATATATATATATATATATATATATATATATATATTTTTAAGGTGTGCAATATTCATGGGATCAGAGATAGAGCGTATGTAAATATAAATATAAAAGTGAACATTGAAGTCAACACTCAGAGGCGACAGGCTAGACACAATCGGCAGGAGGCACGGTGGAGTAGTGGATAGCGGCTTGGATTGGGGAATCGGACAGCCGAGTTCGAATTCCAGTCAAATCCATCACATTCTTCTTCTCCCTCCAGCTATGGGAGGGTTTTATAGCCTTGGATGGCAACTGGTCTAGGAGAAGGACAACTCTGAATTCAATACCTGCGGAGGGTCGTTTGGGGACCTTGTGGCACGTAGTGCACGAGGTCTCTGTATTCGGCCCTTCAAAATGTGTGGATGTTTCTGCACAAAACCTTCACCACAATAATCAAATCTCATGTGCTGGTGTCGAGCCGTCCGTTTCTGTTGACCCTCATACGTCGAATTCGACGGGAGAGTCGAGTATTTCAACTCGGAATTTTTCGTAAATTTTGATCAATAGCGGCTTTTTTTAACGAGAGTTTTTTACGAAAAAATCAGCTAAGCAATCTACTGTTCTCACTACAAAGAACATTGCATTTTTATTGGATCAGATTTAAACGAATAAAAGTAAATAAAAAAGTACCACTTTATTCATTTGCAACAAAAACGAATGAAAGTTGCTGAAAAGATGAATTCTGAATTGTCTTATCTGCTAAGGATTTTTAATTCTAAATTAAAAAATTAACACCAACTCATTGTATATTGTTTAGGAATTCACGGAAATTGATAACTTTGATTTTAAATCGAGTTGAAATTAGTTCCGAGTTGAAATTAATACCCAGTTGAAATAAGTTCCCAGATGAAATAAGTTCCGAGTTGAAATTAATTCCGAGTTGAAGTTAATTCCGAGTTGAAATTAGTTCAGAGTTGAAATTAGTTCCCAGTTGAAATTAATTCCGAGTTGAAATTAATTCCGAGTTGAAAGTAGTTTCGAGTTAAAATTAATTCCGAGTTGAAATTAGTTCCGAGTTGAAATTAATTTCAATTTGAAATTATTTCCGAGGTGAAATTAGTTTCGAGTTGAAATTAATTCCGAGTTGAAATTAGTTCCGAGTTGAAATTAATTTCGATTTGAAATTAATTCCGAGGTGAAATTAGTTTTAAGTTGAACTTAGTTCCGAGTTGAAATTAGTTCTGACTCTCTCTACAGGGTGCGTGGAAATTAACTAGGCATTACAAATTACTTATAGAATTTTTAGTATCACTGAAGTAATGTTGAAAATATTTTTTAAACAGGCAACACTAATAAGGATTTCTTATTTAACTGCAAGACCTACAACTTAAAGACTGTGACTGCAGAATGGAATAAGGGGAGTTAATACTAAGTTGGCATGAAGATTGGCCAGAATTGTTTGAAAGCATTCTCTGGGGAGACTAGATTATATCCCATGTTAATGGTTTCATCAATCGTCACTATTGCCATTATTGAGTGTCGTGTGATAACGACCCGAACATGACGGATTCAAGTTTGACCAAAATTGACCGTGTGGTGTGGAATGAGGGCAACAAGTGTATTTCCACAGGCAGGAAGTGCGAGAAAAGAAACTTTTGAAGTAGAAGTGACGGTTACATTTACTCATTCAGCAGTAAAAGGATGGGACCTAGATGCCAATCTAGTAGCACGCTTAAACTCACGTAGTTCCGGGCACCAGGGAAAAAAGCTCGTCAAAGCTGTAGCTATGAAAATATTTGTAGAAAAGACAGAGGGAAGCCACGTCACGTTGGTGAGAAATTGACTGGAGTCGATATGCCAAGTCAGAATGTTTTACCGCACTAATCGGGTATTATATATGCACTAAACCAATATTGGTATGTATAAATTTTAGCACACTAATCGAAAACGCATCAATCGAAGGACGCCTGAATATATTTCGATAAATCGATATGTTTTTGATGTTAATGAATACATTTTTGAATAAAAATAGAAAACTTATTTTAATACATTTGTTGGTCAATATCTGCCTATCAATATATATATATATATATATATATATATATATATATATATATATATATATATTTCAGTCTGATAAGTGTATGTGTGTGTGTGTGTAAAACATTTCTCATTAACTCATTAAGACAAGTTTTTGTCTACTTATTAAAAATAAGATACTCTCAGAATTACAGACGAGTATCTTGGTGTCCTTATTAAAGGAGGAAAGAAAATTACCATGTTGATGCATATTCATTTTATGCAGAATACTTTCAACACTAGCACAGTGTCATCATCAAGGTGTTGCCTTTTTCTAAGACAAAAGATTTTTGTGTTCATCTGAAAATTAAATTTTTACTTGTGAAGTGAAAAACGCTAAGGTTATGTACTGTACGATTTTAAAATTTTATGATGTAAACGACAAGGGAAGTCACTAAGTCATTGAAATGTCTAAAAAGCTACTTAAACCTAATCGTTAAAACCTAGATATTTTAAACTATCTACTGTAAACGTTAAAACATTTGTTCCGTATTCATAATTAATTTTATTAAGAGTTAGTTTCAATTTTTTAACATAGATAGCTACAAGAATTTTTAGCTTATGTTTATTATTTTCATGAAAAAGTATTGATGTATTTTCAACAAGAATTGTTCCTAAATTGCGAATGTGGACAGGCACGCTGTTGTAAATGTTGAGAGATGCATCATTCAAATTAAAACTCAACCTTCGAGACAATCAAGTAGTGGTATGACCAACATATATATTATTTTTTTATATACAATGTTGGTTTTCTGCGACACATTAGTCGGTGAGGCGAGTCATTACAAATGATTAAATTCGATATATTAGATTTAGTATAGTATACAATTGAATATATTTGATTTAGAATATATATATATATATATATATATATATATATATATATCATGGCTGGCCACTCTTATCCGAGGGTGCCAATCTACTCAGGCGGCTAACCATCCGTGTGGCAGACACAAGCTCTGGCACATTTGTGGTTGTTCACCAGCACAGAGCCCAACTTTGACTTATACTGCAACTATCCTGAGTGGGCCCTAGTTTCAGTTTCTGGGAGATAGGGATCACAAACCCTCGGTCACGATGACTTGTAATTTCGTGCTAGCACAAAATACATATATACTGATTTTTTTCCTACATACTTTCACGCTTCCCGCGCTATTATTCGTTTTTTTTTCATTGTATTTCTTTCTTTTTTTATATATCGTGATTTATTATATTTCTTTTTCTTTTTCTTTGTGTCTGTTATTATTTTTCTCTTTCATTCTCTATCATTCGTCTGTTCTTTCTTTCTTTCTTTTCCTGTAATTCTTTCTTTCTTTCTTTCTTTCTTTCTTTCTTTCTTTCTTTTCTAGCTGTCTTTCTTTCAGTTCCAGCTTTCTTTCTTTCTTTCTTTCATTCTCTTCTGTACCGGCTTACATATTTAATTACAATCTTTCTTTCTTTCTTTCTTTCTTTCTTTATTTCTATTCCAGCTTTCTTTCTTTCTTTCTTTCTTTTCTAGCTCTCTTTTTCTTTCTTTCTTTCTTTCTTTCTTTCTTTCTTTCTTTCTTTTTCTTCTGTCCCGGCTTACTTACTTAGTTACAATCTTTCTTTCTTTCTTTCTTTCTTTCGTTCTTTCTTTCTTTCTTTCTTTCTTTCTTTCTTTTCTAGCTGTCTTTCTTTCAGTTCCAGCTTTCTTTCTTTCTTTCTTTCTTTCTTTCTTTCATTCTCTTCTGTACCGGCTTACTTATTTAATTACAATTTTTCTTTCTTTCTTTCTTTCTTTCTTTTTTTCTTTCTTTCTTTCTTTCTATTCCAGCTTTCTTTCTTTCTTTCTTTCTTTCTTTCTTTTTCTTCTGTCCCGGCTTACTTACTTAGTTACAATCTTTCTTTCTTTCTTTCTTTCTTTCTTTCTTTTCTTTCTTTTTTTTTCTTATTCTCTATTAACTAATTTTTTTCTTCTTCATTCCTTCCTTTTTTTGTTTTCGGATTTTCTTTCTTTTTTTCTTGTGTTTCTATCCTATGTAATTTTTTATTTCTAAATTTTCTCATTCTGTCACCCTTTTTTTTACATTCATTCTCTTATATTCCTCATATTTCTCATGTCTACCTTTTCTCACTGTTTTTCTTTCTTTCTTACTCTGTTGTATGTTTGTTTGACCTTTCTTTCTTTTTTTCTTGCTTTGTCATTTTTTTCTTCCTTTTTTTCCCATTCTCTGTTTTACTCTTTCAAATTCCTCACACACTCTTTCTCCCTCTATTATTCTAACTTGTTTTCTTTATCTTTTTCTCAATCTGTTAGTTTTTCGTTTCCCATTTTTTTTTCTTTTATTCTTCCTTTCTCACTTCTTTACCCTGTCATTCTGTCTTTTTCTGTTATTCTTTGATTCGGATTCTTTTTTACTTTCTCTTTCTTTCTTTCTTTCTTTCTTTCTTTCTTTCTTAATTCGTTAGTCTTCTTTCTTCCTTTCTTTCTTCCTTTTTTTTCTTTCTCACTGAGGTATCCGCTCTTTCTTGTTTGTTTGCTTTCTCAGTATGTAATCCTTTCTTTCTTCCTCCCTTTCTTTCTCAGTAAGTTAGCCTTTCTTTCTCTCTTACTTTCTTTTTGCTTTCTTTCTTTCTTTCTTTCTCACCGTGTTAGCAATTCTTTCTTTGCTTCCTTCTTTTTTTTCTCTCACTGTGTTAGCTTTTCATTCTTTCTTTCTCGCCGAATTAACTGTTCTTTCCTTCTTTCTTTATTTCTTTCTTGTCTTCTCAATACGTTAGCCTTTTTTCTTTCTTTCTTCTTCCTCACTGCGTTAGCCTTTCTTTTCTTCTTTTTTCTTTCTCACCGTTCTTTCCTTCTTTATTTAATTCTTTCTTGTTTTCTCACTACGTTACACTTTTCTTTCTTTCCTTCTTTCTTTCTTTCTTTCTTTCTTTCTTTCTCACTGCGTTAGCTCTTATCACTTTCTTTTTTCTCACTGTGTTAGACTTTCTTTCTTTCCTTCTTTTTTCTTTTCTTTTCTTTCTTTCTTTCTCACTGTGTTAGCCTTTCTTTCCTTCTGTCTTTCTTTTCTTTCTTTCCTTCTCACTACCTTTCTTGATTATTTCTTCCTTTGAGTTATTCAGATAGAAAGAGAATAGGGTAAAATACTTTTCTGTCATGCCGCTGTCTTCCGAACTGAGCAATGGTGAGAGGAAAAAGATAATTCATGCTTTCAATAATGATAACAACATTCATACAATGCCTTCCATCTTCAAAGTTCATTCAATAACCAATCAGAGAACGGTGAATAAGTTTAAATGAGAAGGAACAACAGAGAGAAAAAGTGCATCAGGAGAACAGATCAGGAAGAGGGATAATCATTTTAACTTAGAGCTAAAAAGATCAAGATCCAACTTAATTCATGAGACGTTTGGCACTTGAGAGAGGAGTTTCAGCTATGACAGTCCAAGGAGCAGTAAAAAAAGACTTGAAAATGAAATCCTACATGAAACCTGTGAGGCACCTTGTTATTCCAGGACAGAATGTTAGAAAGTTAGAGAGGCCAAGATCATCTTTAATAAGTTGAGAAATGATCCTGGGATAATATATATATATATATATATATATATATATATATATATATATATATATATGTGTGTGTGTGTGTGTGTGTGTGTGTGTGTGTGTGTGTGTGTGTGTGTGTGTGTGTGTGCGTGTGTGTGCATATATATATATATATATATATATATATATATATATATATATATATCAACTTTATTTCAATTCTTCATGAGCTTCCGACCCTTAGCTATGATTAATTAATGATGAACATGTCATTTTCGTTTATGATCGATTTCATCACGATTCTTTTGTTAAGCTTGGAAAGTAATTATACATTATTATTGCTCAGAGTAAAGTCCAGTCATGTTATAAAAACGTCGGAGACTTCCAGTAAGATATCTTAAATCATTTCTAAGGTACAAAGGTTCAAAGCTTAATCTAGCAATTGCGTGTGTGTGTGTGTGTGTGTGTGTGTGTGTGTGTGTGTGTGTGTGTGTGTGTGTGTGTGTATTTGTTATTTTTATTTACGTTTTCAAGCGTTCTTACATTTTTCCTTTTGGTGGGAGTGAAAGAGTACAAAAATTGTTCATACTGTTCATTGTCCCAAGAGCCTTCGGTCACAACGAAAGTTATTTAAAATTATTAAAATTTAAAATTATTAATGCTTTTCAAATTATTAACGAGGTGACTTTTTTTTTCATTTTGTCCAAAAAGCTACCAGTCGGAATTTAACGAAAATTTCCCAATATAATGGGATTAAGTATATGCGCAGGCTGTACAAAAAACTGTATTCTTCTGCGCAACAGGAAACAAACGGCGGCCATTTGCAATATTAACACGATATAGACGTGTTCCAGACTATAAATGAGTGTCATTATAATCGTTAAACCATGGGTCGTAAATGTGGCTTGAAGTCGTCTGAGAAAGATATTATAGCAACTGAACTTTCCAAAGGCAAATCTACATTAGAAATATCCAAAATAATTGGAAGATATCACCAAACTGTGAAAAGATTTGTTGCAGCTCCATTGAAAGTACGTAAGAGGGCCGATAAGGGTTACTCGGGGGTTGTTTCCCCGACGTATTTTGTCATGAATGAAACGTGAAACTGTAAATAACCCAGACCTGGCCAGTGGCGCACATTTCAGGAGCACTGGCGAAACAACAATGTCAAGAAGTAATCACTATCATCTTCTGAAAAAGGTCGGGACATCAGTGTGACCAGTGACAATGCCTCAATTGACAAAAGTACACATACAAATGCGTTTGAAATGAGCAAAGGAGAACATGAAGGTCGATTTCTCGAATGTTCACAGATGAAAGTCATGTAACACTTGATGGCACTGATGGTTGAGGCAAAGGTTGGGTCGTAAATGGACGAGATCTTCATCAACGGTTGACACACCAACAAAGAGGAGGAGGTATTATGATTTGGGCTGGTATTTTTGAAGGTATCATGGTTGGTCGGTGGAGAGTACCTGGCGGTAAGAAAATAACCGCGGATGCTTATATAACCTTCCTCAAAGAATTCCTAGAATATTGGCTAAAATGCAAAGCATCACCTTCAGGAGAAGCATCGTATTTATGCAAGATAATGTTCTTTTCGCATTCAGCGCATAAAACTACAGATTAAATGCAAAAATGTGGCCCTCGGAAGATGAACTGGACGATCGATTCTCCAGACTTAAACCCAAATGAAAATTTGTGGAGCATTATGAAGAGTCGTGTTTAGGAGAATGGACGCCAATTTAGAAGCAAGTATGACTTATCGCAGGAAACATTCAACGTATCACGTGAAATTACATCAGAGGAGATCCAGAATTTGACATGCTCGATGGACCACCGCCTTTTCTAAGATATTTTTTAAAACAAGGATCACATATATCATATTAACCAAATCCACTATCCTTTTTGAACTCTGTTTATTTATTTATTTTTTATTTCGATTTAATTTCATCTTAGTTAATGTATGTCTCCATAAAAGTCTGTAAATGAAGAAATTAAAGTTTTATTTTCTTTTTTTTACAGTGGTCATTACTACACCTTGCTAATAATTTAACACACTTTGTCCTTACAATTTTTACAGAGTAGGTGTATATACATGTTACCATTATTCTCTGATAATTTCGTTAAATTCCAAAAAGTAATTTTTGGATAGGATGGAAAAGTGTGACCTCGTTAATCATTTGAAATTGAAATATATCTATACATTATATATATATATATATATATATATATATATATATATATATATATATATATATATATATTTTTCAATAAAGGTGCAATTAATTTACAAATTCATGAATTATTCATACAAAAAACAAATACAAAGGTTAATGATTTAATATATATATATATATATATATATATATATATATATATATATATTGCTTTAATTTTTATTTTCTAGCGGTTACCCGTATTTTAGTCGACACTTCGTTTTTTTAAACAGTGTGTATTATGTCTACTATCTTGCGCACTTAAGAAAACTTAATAAAGAAAATGTACCCTCTACAAGTGTTCGAACCTGCGCCTCTCCTTGTCGAGGAAACTAACATGTGAACTGGCGTTTCTTCATAGGTTTTATCATTTATATAATTTTCTGATTTTATTATTGTTATACGAATAACTGATATTTAATAAGCTGAGCTTGGTATGGTACAAGGCAATGATTTTAGGATGTATCGAACGCACCACAGGAGTAATGATCTACGAGGCTAGTTTTGCAGCTAGATTTATTAAGCTGAGTCAGTCGAGCACGTGGTATAGGTCACCTTGCAAGGATCGAACGTAAGGTATATACGAGGCTAGCTTGTTAATCACTGCACATGTATCGAGAAACTATAATAATACTGTCTTTAGCCTCCATGCATTTATGCAGAGAGAGAGAGAGAGAGAGAGAGAGAGAGAGAGAGGGAGAGAGAGAGAGAGGGAGTGAAAGAAAGAGAGAGAGATGTGTGCACGTGTGCGCATGTGCGAACATATTTTTACATTTTCACTTGTTTATAGATGGATTATCATGGGAACTTTTAAACAGATTATAATTTGCTCTTTCTATCTCAAACTATCCTTGTATCTTCACTTTCTCTCCCCCCCTCTCACCTTCCCTCTCTTTATATATATATATATATATATATATATATATATATATAGATAGATAGATAGATAGATAGATATGAATTTCTTGTGACAAACAGAATACATTGAGATAGATAGATATGGACTGACTGAAATAGATATATACATACATATGAACTGATTGAAATAGATGTATAGATATATAGATATGAACGGCCTTAGATAGATAGATAGATAGATAGATAGATATGAACAAACTGAGCTAGATATATACATACATACATGCATACATATGAAGTGATTGAAATAGATGTATATAGATGGATAGATATGAACAGCCTAAGATAGATAGATAGATAGATAGATAGATAGATAGATAGATAGATAGATATGAACAAACTGAGCTAGATATATACATACATACATGCATACATATGAAGTGATTGAAATAGATGTATATAGATGGATAGATATGAACAGCCTAAGATAGATAGATAGATAGATATATATGAACTGATTGAAATAGATTTATAGAAAGATAGATATGTACAGAGATAGATAGATAGATAGATAGATAGATAGATAGATAGATAGATAGATAGATATGAACTGATTGAAATAGATTTATAGAAAGATAGATATGTACAGAGATAGATAGATAGATAGATAGATAGATAGATAGATATAGATAGAGATAGATTTTGGTTTAAACTGTGATAGACAGATAATGAACAGACTGAAATAGATTAGATAGATAGATAGATAGATAGATAGATAGATAGATAAATAGATAGATTCATTCCTTAAGGCGTACATATTACATTTTTACTATCACTCCTGTTCTGTTATTTCGTCACTGATTTTTTTCAATGTCACTCGTTCCATTGCACCCCCAACACCGCCACACTCTACGACTCTTTCTCGTTCGGATCATTTTTGTTTGTTCTTCACCCTCTTTTCTTTTACGCTTTCATCTCTCTTTGTACCTTTATTTCAAAGTAAAAGGCCTTTTTTTAACTGCTCTACCCTGTTCTCAGCTAAGACCGAATTCAAATCTGATGACCTAGACTCGCTGTAGGTCAAGCTATGTCGACCTCGTTCACTTCTCCACCAATAAACTACACTTCTCGCACTCACTCACTCACTCACCAATTCCGCTTTTCTCATCTCTTTGGCATCCATTTTCTCTCTCCTTTTTCGTATTGTTTGCTGAGTTCGATCTACCAAACTATCCGCCCACTCTTATTCTATCTCTGATTCTTTCTTTCTTGTTGCTTTTGTTGATATTATTCGTTCCCTCTCTCTCTCTTTCATTCCCCCCACATTTTCGCTCTTTGACGTCACAAATTTGGCATAAATTAACCCAGATACGCCAACCAATCAGAGTTGAGAACGCGGTTGGAAACAGGCCATTTGCGAATGAGAAGCTGAGAAATTCATTCGCTTCATCTTTTCTTCATATCTCTTCTCTTTTCTTAAATAATTCTTCAATTCTTCCCGTGTTCTTTTCGTTTTTCTTTCTTTTTATAAATCTTTCATCTTCTTTTCTAGGTTGATTTTCTGCCTTTCATCTTTTCATTTTCATAGCCAATCTAATTTTTAACATTTGCTTCTATATTTTTTTTTCTCTTTTTTTTCGGATTTTATTTATTTATTTAACTGTCGTCTTTATTCCATTTTATTTTACTCCTTATTTTGTTCCATTGCTTTTTTGTTTTATTTTCTATATTTTTATTCCAATTTTTTCTTTCATTTTTCAATAATTTTCATTATTACTATTTTTCTTTTGCTAATTTTTTTCAATGTTTCTTTTTCAGTTTTCTATCCATCATCCATTCATTCATTCCTTCTTTCTTTCTTTCTTTCTTTCTTTCTTTCTTTCTTTCTTTCCTGGGGCCATTTCTGCATCACATCAATTCAACTTTGTCCTCTTTGATCTCCGAATGTTCACCTTTGAGAGATTGTCATTCTTGCGGTCAGAGACTCATTTTGCCTGTGTGGGCAAGGAGGCGATCAAATGAGGACCCAACACCTGACTAAAATGTACGTGAATTAACCAAAAAGGATGGAAACGAATCAGAGCGAAGAATAACGAGATAGATAGATAGATAGATAGATAGATAGATAGATAGATAGATAGATAGATACACACATACATACATACATACATACATACATACATACATACATAATGAATAGACTGAGATAAATAGAAACAGACAAGCAGATAGATAGATAGATAGATATAGATAGACAGACAGATAGGAACAGACTGAGATAGATAGACAGGCAGATAGATAGATAGATAGATAGATAGATAGATAGATAGATAGATACATACATACATACATACATACATACATACATACATAATGAATAGACCGAAACAAATAGACACAGACAAACAGATCGATAGATATATAGATATGAACTTTCTTAGATAGATAGATAGATAGATAAATAGATACGTATGAAGAGACAGTAACATAAATATATATATAGAGAGAGGGTGAGGGAGAGTGGAGATAGAAAGATATATATATAAATATATATATATATATATATATATATAGTAAGAGAGAGAGAGTGAGAGAGTGAGAGAAAGAGAAAGAGAGAGAGAGAGAGAGAGAGAGATGGACAGCAGCATGTGACTGTTGCATCCATATGGAAACTATGCAGAAAAATGCACACACATGACATATATATATATATATATATATATATATATATATATATATATCACTGTTTTTCACTGTGCTCTTATATTGTATCTTTGTGTCAAGCTAAGATAACCTTTCGAAACACACACACACACATTTACATGCATATACATATGCATGTTTTTTGTATGAAACTACATACACAGACACCGATAAATAAGTATATACTTTAGTAGCTAGATATATATATATATATATATATATATATATATATATATATATATATATATATATATATATATATATATATATATGTGTGTATATGTGTGTGTGTGTGTGTGCGTGACCGAGAATGAGTGTTCTGACACCGGTGCGTGTGAGGCAAGGTTGTTCGATAGACCCAATAACAACTAAACGCAAAGACACAACTAATAAATCGCAAAGATCAAAGGCTAAGAGTAAGGAGCATCAACAAATGGTTTTAGTTAATCAGATAATCGTTGCTGGTCGAAGAGAAGTAGACCTTGGGATTCGCGCCCTGCCTCTGCGTCCATTTAGGCGCGTGCCTCTGCAGTTTCTCGCAGCCGCCGCCGCCGCCGTCATCGCCGCCGTCGCCGCCGCCGACACGCGTACACGATGACCTTCTGCACATGACACCACCTACAATTGGGCCAACCGCATAGTTTTGAACCAGTCATCGTTTGATTTCAATAACATGCGAACAAATAGAGCTTCAGTTCCGCAGCTACGTTCTTCTTCTTCTTCTTCTTCTTCTTCTTCTTCTTCTTCTTCTTCTTCTTCGTTTTCGTCTTCTTCTTCTTCTTCGTTTTCGTCTTCTTCTTCTTCTTCTTCTTCTTCATCTACATCTTGTTCTTGTTCTTCTTTATCTCCTTTTTCTTCTTCGTTTTCGTTTTCGTCGTCTTCTTCTTCTTCTTCTTCATCTTGTTTTTCTTCTTCATCTTCTTCTTTTTCTCCTTCTCCTTCGTTTTCGTCTTCTTCTTCTTCTTAGTTTTCTCCTTCTTCTTCTTCATCTTCTTCTTCTTCTCCTTCTTCTTCTTCTCCTAAAAACTACAATTTATCTTTTTTTTTCTTTTTACAATCATTCATATTCTGCTAATTACCATTTTTTTTATTTTTCAAATTATTAAATTTCTAAGTCGCCCTTTCCTCAAAAATATTAAATTTCTTCTCAAAATCATTTTCTTCTTTTACTTCTTTTCATTAAATTCTTTCTATATATTATTATTTTTATTGACATATTTTACTATTTATTATTCTTTTTCTAATTTTTTCAAATTATTTTTAAATCATTCGTTTTGTCATTCATATTCTATTATTTTTGAACTTATTCTTCATATTCTTCTGAAAATCATTCTTTTTTCTCTTTTTCGAACTAGCATTTCTTCTTTTTCTTCTTTTTTTTTCTTTTTCTGGAGTCCTTTTTTCATCATCATTCATATTCTACGAAAAGAATTCTTATTTTTCTATCAATTTTCTTCTAGAAATCATTCTTTTAATTTTTAATCACTTTCTTGCAAAAAAATAATTGTTTCTAATTATCATTTTTCCTTCTTTTTCCCCTGAAAATCAATCTTTTTTTTTCTCGTTATTGTTTTTTTTTTTCTGAAAGTCATTCTTATATTTTCGTTATTCCTTTTCTTCCTAATTTTTTTTTTCATTTTTTTTTCAATATAATTTTTCTTCTTCTCATTATTCCTTTACCTATTTTTCAACTTGTTAATTTTCTTCAAAAAGTCAATCTTTTTCTAATCAGCTTTCATATTCTTTTTAAATTATTGTTTTTAATCTTTTTTCTTCTTATTACTCCTTTTAAAAAAATAATTCATTTTTCTATTTTTTCTAATCTTTTCATTTCTCCTAAAAATCATTCCTTTTTCTAATCATCATTCCTTTTCTTGCAATATTTCTTTTTTTCACTTCCTTTTGTTTATCCATTTTTTGAAAGAAATAATAATTTTTATTCTCTTCTGGTTATTATTTCTGTTTTTCTAAAATAATTCTTTTTATGATCATCTTTCTTTTTCAATTTATTATTGCTTTTTTATCTATAAACCATTCTTTTTCTAATTTGTCAACCAATTCCACTTCCTTCTGAATTCATTCTCTTTTTAATCATTATTCTTTTTTTTCTCTAAAAATCTTTGTCTTTTCGAATTATAACACTTTTTTTTTTATTAAAAATGATTTTTTTTCAAATAAGTTTTCCTTTTCCTCTAAAACTCATTTATTTTCTTCTTTTTCTTCTTATTTCCTATTTTCTTCTCGTCTTCTAATTTGATTTAAATTTCTTTCTTTTAAATTATTATTCCTTTCTCGTAATGTTCCAAATATTTTGAATCATTATCATCTCCTTCTTTACGTCATCCTCTTCTTCATCTTTTTCATTTTTTTCTTCTTTTTTCTTCTTTATCTTCTTTTTCTTTTTCTTCTTCTTCTTTTTTCTTCTTCTTTTCCTCCTCCTCCCCTTCTTCTTCTTCTTTTTCTCCTCCTCCTCCTCCTTTTTTCTTCTTATTCTTTTTTCTTCTTCTTATCTTCCTCCTCCTTCTCTTGTCTTTCTTCTTCTTCTTCTTCATTCTTCTTCTTCTTCTTCTTCTTCATTCTTCTTCTTCTTCTTCTTCGTCTCCTCCCCCTCCTCCCCTCCTCCTCCTTCTTCTTCTCCTCCTCCTCCTTCTTCTTCTTCTTCTTCTTCTTCTTCGTCTCCTCCTCCTCCCCTCCTCCTCCTTCTTCTCCTCCTCCTCCTCCTCCTTCTCCCCTCCTCCCCTTCTTCTTCTTCTTCTTCGTCTCCTCCCCTCCTCCCCCTCCTCCTTCTTCTTCTCCCCCTCCTCCTTCTTCTTCTCCTTCTTCTTCTTCTTCTTCTTCTTCTTCTTCTTCTTCTTCTTCTTCTTCTTATTATTATTATTATTATTATTATTATTATTATTAGCCCACTCATGTTCGCTTTACAATTTTGATTCATTCTTTTTAATTCTGGTTATCCATTTTTTTCTTTTTTACCCGTTCTTCTACCTTTTCCCATTTTCTATCATCATAATCGTTTTCATCAATGTTATTAGATTAAAAATCTCCACCCAAGGGCTTTCCATATTGCCAATAAGCATCGAAGGGTCAGCACCCTAAAGCCGGAAGTTTCCCGAGTTAACAGACTTTCTACTGCTGCCGTAAAAAAAAAAAGGAAAAAAAAAAGATTTATCTTGTAGGACCCGCCGACCAAAGACTAACTTACAACAGATGGTGAGGCCCGTCTGAAGCCACGATTTACTATTGTTGTTCCTCGTATTTCAATTTTTAATATCAATATTTCATAATAATAATAATAGTAATAATAATAATAATAATAATAATAATAATAATTAAAGAAGAAGAAGAAGAAGAAGAAGAAGAAGAAGAAGAAATAAGTTACTTCTTTTTCTCCTACTTATTAATTTTTTATTCATAAGGGAATCTTATAGCATCTTTTTGGATCATTTAATATTGACATTAGTCTGCTTCTTCTTCTTCTTCTTTCTTTTCTTCTTCTTTTTCTCTTCTTCTTTCTCTTCTTCTTCTTTTTCTTCTTCTCAGAATTATTCTCAGAAGTACAGCCCGCACTTTACGAAGGGCTTTATCTATGTAATTTTTTTTTTTTTTTGTCAGTGGAAAGTGCTATGATGCCATTTCTAACCTTAGGTCCCTGGGCGGGACCCGGAAAGAAATGTGTAAACGCCAGAAATCAAAGGAAATAATTATAATAATTTAGAAGAAGAATAATGTTACTATGGCTCCCATAATATTATGTAAGCGTTTTGACAGAGGACGATAAATGCGACACTGAGATCCGGAGACGTATTGGGATGGCCAGGACGAATTCCAAAAGCTGGGCAGAGTATTGCGAGATCGGAGGGTTTGGTAACAAAGAAAAGAGTAGTGAGTTGTTACGTGACATCTGTCCTCCTTTACGGCAGCGAATGTTGGATGGTCTCCTCAAAGACGAAGAAGAGACTCGAGGCGACGGAGATATGGTTCTACAGAAGGATGCTGAGGATATCATGCACCGGGCGTGTGAACAGCAGAGAGGTTGCAAACAAGGTGGAAGCTTATATTTAATATCAGGAAGAGGCAGCTGAATTTCCTGGGACACGTAATGAGGAAGGAGGGCCTGGAGAATCTGATACTCACGGGTCGAATAGAGGGAAAAGAGAGACAAGGGAAAACATCGCGTGACATACCTAGCAGTATTAATCAAGTGGATGACAGAATGTGGTCTGGGGGAGGTGGC